ACAATCATCATGTCACAACATCATTCAAACAACAAATACAAACCAACACATAAGCATACCATGTCAAGCACATAAAGAGTAAGTTCACTACCTTGCACCTCAAGCTTTCCTCTTACTTTTCCTTTGACTCCCTTGACTTTCCAACCATGTGGACATTCGATCAACATCACTAAACATCCTCTTGGATGTTTCAAAGGTCCTAAACATAACCATAATGATGACACAATCCATTAGGACCATTAGATTACATAAAGTTCAAGACTAGCTTTCTTGAACCTCAACCCCTTTCTCTTAGTCTTAGGGTTTTCTTTCTAACTTTTCTAATATAAATCTTATCATTTTACATCCTTATGATCTATTTCCTATCAATTAGGACCACTTTAGATGGCTTTAGATTCAAGAATACCAAATCTGGAAATTTTGGTTCGCGGTACTGTTCACGCAGAATCTCCAGAATTTTTGATCAACTTTCAAAATTCATAATTAAATCTAGAAAAATCCAAATTGAGTGCTTCAAAGTCTCACTGAAAGATAATTAAGTTAAATTTAAAGGAAAAATGTTTTCAGGAACTAATTCTACGCCAAACAGTACCAGAAGTGTACGGAACTCGACACCCTTCCAAAAGCTTAACACTGTTTCCAGATTTCAACCCTAACTTTGAAAAATCACCATAAATCGTACACATATCCAAATGAAGTGTTCTACCCATGGATTTAAAGCTCATAGAGTGTACTTTAAGCATGCCAAATTTCAGAACCAGATATGAACAGTAACTAATTCGAAAAAGCCATCAAATCAGCACGTAATTCTTCCAATTTTCACATAGATCCACTTGGATCTACCATACTTTGAGGTGTTCTAGCAAGATCTAACAACCAAACTCCCTTCCCCACTCATCAACCATTTCGACCAGCCATCAAAAGGGAGAGAAGACATATTTTCAACTATAAAAGAGAAAGAAACCAAGGCAAGAACACATCTAGAGCCAAGAACTCACCTTGAACCTTGATTGTATGACCAAAGTTGATGCCTTTCTCTTGGTTTTCCCTCAAAACTCTCTCTTTTTCCCTCTCTTCATGCCTTGCACGAAATTCCCATCTGATTTAGGGGAGAGATGAGCTCATTAATGTGTTCAAAATATCCCACCAACCATCATTAATGTTATGCCAAGTGTCATTAGCCTACTTAATCTTAATCCTCTCTCTTAATTAACTTAAATCATAATGTAATTAAATTCCAAAGTCAAGATCCTCTCCATTGGTAGCTTGACACTTGGAAAGCTTTAATTACCATCCATTAAAGGCTTGACAAGTGGCGACTTGTGGCCCAAGTAAAGTGTAAGACTCTGATTAATACTTTATCGGTGCACTTTTACTCCGGGTTTAACTTCTTTTCTCTAATTACAGTGCTCTGGCCTCTGTAATTATTTTCTGTCAGATCCATAAATTCTCTTTAATTTTAGAGGGTATCTATGAATTTTCTTAGGCCATAACACTTCCTTTAAGCCTGGCATAAAATGCATTTACTAAAATACCCTTTTATCGGCAAAACCGGCTCTTTAATTTCTTAAAGCCACTCTACTGGCCTTTTGGTTGCGGGACTAATTTTATAAATTAGTACAACCTTTCAACCCTTTAACCTCATTTTTGTATACACTTTTGAGGTCTCTTGCTATTTCAAATAATTACCTCAAACGGTATACTTTTTACCGGTCATAACCTCATAAATTCCATTTAAGCTGCCTCAGGGGTATTTTCATCTTTTCTCTTCATAGAAGAGTCTTAGAATATTATTTCCCATTTTTTTGGGATTTTCTTGGAATTTTCTGTACACTCTTCCATTTTTGCCCTTGCTGGTCATAACTTTTTGAATTTACGGTTTTACCCCTGCTTAAGCCTAACCTCATAGAACCATCTCTTTGAGGTTTCTAACTTACCCATTGGCCTGTATCTAGTCTCTTTTCTCTTTTTGGGCCTTCGAGACTTTACTGGAGCCTCTAACCTTAATTATACTCGAGCCCCTGAAAACTTTTACTTTGCAGTTTAGTCCCTGAAACTGCTTTAACTTCCTTTCTCATCTTTGGGACTTTTGCTCACAGGGGTCTGATAGCCTATCTAATTCAGGCTATTTTTGATGCTTCTAGGCCCAAAAGTCTAGATGTTACACAAACCATGTAGTTTCATTGAAAGGGTATCCAGGTCACGACTTGGGGAGGCAGAACACTCTAAACTCTTGTGTTTTGGTCCCTGTAACATTTTGGCTCCATCTATGCTTTGTCTTGGTTTTTGGGACCTTCTCCAATTGCTCGAAAACCACAACAAAGAGCTCTATAAAGACTGACTGATTACAGATTAAGGCAATAAAAATTGAGGAGAGAAAAATGATCCTTTTCACCCCTTAAACAGCAAAATGCAATACATTACTCAATGTAATCAAATGGATATAAATGCATGCATAATGAGGGTAAAAGATTGCAAAACATTAAAAAAAACTTGAGAAAACCATATAACGACTGGGTTCTATCACTCCCCCACACTTGAACCTTTGGTCTCTTGGACAAAGACCTAAATCATTCTAAAGAAAGTACAACTACAATTAAGGAAACTAGCATGTTGAAAAGTGATTTCAAGGGCTAATCAATCAACATCTTTTAGAATACAAAAATGATAACATGACCAATGCCAAGTAATTAGATACAAGGTGCAATTGACTCTAAATACGTGAATAATAGAGATTTGCTCACAGGGTATGAGTGTTTGATTCGCTCATCTCTCCTCATTGGGGTCATTTTCTCTCAAACATCCAAGCAGCAAACATTCTACCATAAGCTTGTGATGACACTAAAATCTCCACTACTGTAACACCTTACGTTTACGACCTTATGTTGTGCCAAGTTAAGACATTCGGAAGCGCAAACTAAGGTTACCGGGTTGAAAAACCTGAATTTGAAAATTTCTTTTCCCGCATTACTATTCACCGTAACCTTAAACTTGGCATAACTTTGAAAAATCATAACTAATTCTAGAAAAATCGAAACGAGGTCGTTCCAAGTCTCACTCGAAGCTCTTAACATCATCTATCAAGGAAAAATGACCTCAGGTTCCGCTTTAATCAGAAACGCATTCGTTTTCAATTTCGAAAAGTACTGTTCATTTGGTCATTTTTCTATTTTCCAGGATTTTTGCCTAACTTCGGAAAGGCATAACTTCTTACACAGAGCTCCGATTGTGACGCTTTACCACTTATTTTAAAGGGAAAAATAAGATCTATTCGCATACCAAATTTCAAGGAAAAAGTCAACCATTTGACCAGGGTCTTCGTTGGTCAAAGTTTGGTCAAATCTAGACCATTTTTATCCCCTTTTTCACTAATTTTGACAGCATTTCGTTTTTCACTATAATCATACCATAATCACTTATAAAGCTACTCTATCACTAATATACATTCCAAAAAGGGTATCATATCATGTATTTATGAACATAGTATGCTTACATGGCTTGAAAGAGAAAGGTTCAAAACCGTATAATACATTACATAATTCATAACTTCTTCAAGCCATGACTATTTCCTTTCCTTTCTCCTTAGCAGTAGTGGCACCTAGGATATCATGTTATAGGAGGAATGAGATTTCATAGAAATCCCAGTAGCATTGAACATACAACCATCAAGTCAATATGCATAAGATGTCATGCTACATGCAATAAGATAACATTTCTAGTCTTTATGCCATGCTATAATCATTCTGTATCCATGTCATCATATCATGGAGCATATAATCATTCTGGTCAAAACTCAATCATGCAAGAGCCAAGGCATACATTGCAAGGAGTTCACATCATCTGTACATAACATTCTCATGGCACATAAACACACATAGCAGATACATCAAATGCAGATCAACAAAATAATTGCAGTTCACGCTACCTCAATTCCTTGCTTAACGTTTCCTCCTTGATCCCTTGCTGGAGATCCTCCTAGGTTTCCAGAAGAGTTGCCTATCAACCATATAGTAAGGGTATGGTAAATTCCATATCCAGTATACCATTCTTTCTCAATATAATGCTACCCTTGTATCTTTCAATTTATAATTTCTGTATACCTTTCCTAGACCTTTGACCTTGGTTTGACCAAGCCTTAATCCTCAATTAAGGTCTTGGAATTCTTCCTTAATCCATGATTAATCATGCTTTCTTGGTTAATCACTAACCCTTAATCCTTAATCCAATATTTAATTAAGGTCTTCAAGTCACATAGTCATAATCCTCTAAAATTAAATCACTAATCCCTTTTTGGATTAACCATTAATCATTCTCTAATCAACATGATTAACCATTAATCATTCCTTAATCAACATGATTAATCATTAATCATTCTCTAATATGATTAAGCTTTAATCAATCCTTATTTAACATGATTAATCATTAATCATTCTTCAATTAGCATAACTAATCACTAATTAATTAGGGTAGCTAACCTTAATCACTTACTAATCCTTAATCAAATATCATGACTAATCTTAGCTATCACTAAACCATAATTAATCAAGGCAATTAATCCTAATCTTCCTCAAATAAATAATCAACTAAAAGTAATTAACACTTAGGGAGATAAACATACCTTAATTAGCGCTTAATCGGCGATTAGAGGTGATTAAGCTTGCTGTCTCTCTTTCTCTCTCTTCTTTCTTCCTTTCTCTCTCCTAGAACTCAAGAACACAAAATTCTCTCCCAACAAACACCTCTTGGCCGAATTCTTCATGAAAGGGGGGGGTATTTATAGGCCTTGATATTTCAAAATGCCGAAAATGCCCTTCGGGAAAAAGATGCGATCTCGGCCGTCCATTTTTTTCTACTTTACACGTGGACAAATCTTAGGGCACTCACCATAAGAAAGTGACACATGTAGGGACACCTAATCACCATGTGATTTTCATGTGGAAAATAAATATTATTTTATTATTTGTCTCTTATTTCCCTTTATGCCCTTGAACAATGTGGAAAATTCCAACTTTGTCCTCTCCTTCTAATTTTGGCCGAATTATTGCTCTTAATATTGGAAAAAATATGACTCATCCAATAATCAGTGCAATCCACTGATTATTTGTGTATTTCCGGTCCGATTTTCCAACAATCCTGTCCAATTTACTGTCACAAAATTTCGATTTCAACACCTCATTAAATTCCCCTCATTCCAAGGGTAATCCATGATTTTTCTCAAGTTCTATCTCCCTCTATAATTTTCTAAATTTTATTCTGTCAAAAATCACTATTCTACCGATAATAATTCGGTAATAAATATCCTTTAAGCTAACCTTTGTACATCCAAAGGTGGGAAATAATTTTATAAATTAGGATAATATGTCACATAATTTATCCATATTTTTTCTTGAATTTTTGAGGCCTCTATATATTTTAAATAATGGAAATTGGCTAATTTTCCTTAATTAACCAAAAATTCCAATAATTACAAATAATTTCCTGATAAATTATTTTTAATCTCATATTCATCTTCTAAGCCTCAAACATTATTCTGTACCCTCCTTTCTATTTTTCATGACTTTTTGGGAATTTTCAGGAATTTTGGACATTATTTCCAATACTGTCCTTTCTTGACTGATCTTTTCAAGAATGACGGTTATGTCCCTATCCTGATTTTTCCTCATAGCCTGGATCCTCTACCAGTCTACTATACTATTTGGCCTTAGTTAGTCACAAATCATTCATCAACTAGAATAAAATTATCAGGGTGTGACAACTACTGTTCAACATTCATGTAAAGAATCAAGAGGACTTTTAAAGGTTATAGTGATGGAAAGGCTAAATGGAACAAAAAATGGTGAACTTGAGTGTTAAGAATTAAAGAAATGTGAGTTAAATATCATTTATTTTTAGACAAGGGAGTTCAGATCCCAACCTTCTACCACCAAGAAATACTTTATTCAACTTTATTTTGTTGCTATAGCTGATGTATATATAAGAAGTATTTCTTTACTTTTCTGCTCTTTTTGTTTTTCTTTTCTTTTCTTTTCTTTCTTATTCTTCTTCTTTCTTTCTTTCTTTTTTTCAAACTGAAACATAAGTAAAATTCCCAATTAAGACCCACGAAGATCAGGAAATCGTAATTGTCGAGATGGAATCAACTCAATTAACATCGTTGTTCAAAACACTCAAAATGGTAGACAAAATGAAGGAAGTACAAGCTAAAAAATGGTTAAGCAACAGATAGATGGTTGTGGGTTGTGTTTGGGTAGAAAGGCATAGAAAAGAATGCCTCTATCATATTCAAAATCATAAATGCACACGTGATTTGGACTAAGAGCTAAGACAAGTTCTAGGAAATGTAAACCACATAAATAATTACTCAATATAAGAATTAAGACTCAAGAATATCCTTCCAGCAAGGGTTTCACATCTGAATTGCTCATACAAGAAGTTTCAATCAATATGCATTAGTCACAAGGTATTAAGACACTTATCACAAAAGCAACCCATGAGATGAGGATTAAAAAGATCAAAATAATCACTTAAGAACCCTTAAATCTCAAAAGTGACTATAGAGACTTTAGAAAAAACATTTTCAAAATTAGTGCTCTTAAAAGTCCAAGGATGGCATGGTTTCCAGGAAAAACTTTTTGACGTAATGAGGGTATATTAAAAAGGCAATGGTTTGCTTAAAAAAGATGTAAAGGTAGCTTAAAAAGGTTCCTCTTACATAGCATTGCAAAAAGCAAAGAGAAGGATAGCGATGCACAGCAAAAGAGGTCAAGTCGTGACCTGAAAACAGTGAGGTCATGACTTGGGTACACAGAAGCACCAAGTCAGGAAAGGGGGGTTGAAGTCGCGACTTGAAATCATCGAGGTCATGACCTGAAATCACAAAGAGCCCTCCTTTACGAAAGTTACTCCTCAAGTCACGACTTGAAGTAGTGAGGTTGCGACCTGAGGTCACAGAAACTACCAACGAAAATTTTTCAAAGCTTGGCCAACATTTAACAAGTAAAAACCTTTCAGCAAGCATCAAAACAAAGATAAATGATCAAATTCACAGCAATTCACCATCCATAATCAATTCAAAGCCAAATAATGATGATAAAAGATTGGACTCTAAAAATCTGAAACAACACTGAAATGATATAATAAAGCGAAATGAACTTCTCCCCCACATTTAGATTTGACATTATCCCCATTGTCAAAGGAAAAGGGAAAAGAATAGTAGCAACCACAAAAGAACACAATAAACCAACTAGTCATTGTAGAAAAGTTTAAATACAATAAAGTTAAGCCTTCAGTTACAAAAACAAAGGAATAACAGAAACCAAAGAAAAAATAAAAAGAAAGTAAAGACTATTCTTAGTCTTCTGCTTCTTTTCTCTCCTTTTTACCAGTATCTCCTCCTGCCTAAACATCTCCTTATCCTATCTCAGCATCAATAGTAGCAGTAGCAGTACTAGAAGATTGCCCCGGACCCTTACTAAAGTAATTGGTGGCAGGAATGGTGTTCTCCCAGAAAGCCTGTTCATACTCTTGAGGTAAGTTGACCTTGAGAACCCTGGTCATCTCCAACATCAGAGGGTCTATAAACCTTTGTCTTTTGAACTCATGTGACATAGAAATAGCTTTGTAAGCATTAAACTCCTCGCTCAGATTTGTCACTTATTGACTGAGTTCAGTAATTTGCTCACTTAAGGAGGCGAGGTTGAAACTAGAGCCACCCTCAGCTACCTCCTCCTCTGGACCTTCCTCCACTACCTTTTTTCCTCTCTTCCTCTCTCTGTTGGATTTGGAGGCAACATAGAACCTAATTGTGACAGGGTCCAAGAGAGAGTCAGACTTGCATGTTGGTATCCCTTTTTCCAAACACAGATCGGTAATCAAGTGTGGAAATACCATAAGGGTTTGGATATTATTGACACAATGATCAATCTGGTCCAGGGCAATAATAGGAATGTTAACAGGCTATATAGTCATCAGGAGGTGCAAAAGCAGCACGCCCTCTTCAAAGACATTAGATATATGGGCTGAGGGCATTATGTTATAGGTCATGAAGTTTAGCCAAATCCTGGCTTCATCATTTATGTGCTTGTACTCAAAAAATTTCCATCCACTTTCCTTTATAGTCCACCTGGCTCCCCCTATGGAAACTTCAGTAAGTCTGATCTTCCATCATTGGTACTCACAGACAAGGACATCAGGCAACTTGTAGAACTTCTCAATAGCCTCCCGGGTTAGATAACATTCACCACCTCTGAAAGTGATCCCCCTATGCCCGTCCATGGCAAAGCAAGTGTAGAACTCTCTCACCAATGTTAGATTAGCCTTGTTCCTCTTCTTTATAAGTTCCTCAAAGGCCCCTCTGTTTAGCAAGCTCGTAAAAGTGGTACTACTACGTTTCTGGAAAATACCGCTCTTGAACTATCCCTCTATTGGTAAACAATTCCACGACTTTCTTCCTTGAAAGTTTGGTCTCCTCACAAGGACAAAGCTTCTTCGAGCCTGAAGACTTGGGATTCTTGGTGCTAGGCATCTGAGTGCAAAGCAAACAACCAATAAACAACCAAAGTAAACACACAAAACAAACAACCCTAGAAAAGAAACTAAAAACTACACTAAGCCTAGAAACCAAGCACTCCCCCACACTAGGCCTATAGTTACCCCTCACTTAGGCAAAACTGTTAAAGATTTTAAATTAGGACACTTGCATTTTAAAACCATTAGGGAAATCATGAGAAAACCCAAGTATTCATAATTTTCAATTGCCCAAAATCTATTTCTTGCAAATCCTTAATATGTAAAGTCAAAATCCATTGAGAAATTGCAGTTTAGAAACAACAGAGGTGAATCAGAGGTTTAAAACCTCCCCTGTGAGCTCAGGTTGCGACCTAATAATAGTAAGGTCGCGACTTGAACAGACAGAGGGAAAAATTTTGAATTCAGAAAGGTTCGAGGTCATGAAATGAAAACTGTGAGGTCGCAACCTGAACCTAGAAAGTTCTGAAAACGCTGCACGAACCAATTTGGTCAAAAACCAAACCTTTTCCAGAAAATGTAATACCAAGCAGTTTCAAAACTAGTAAAACACTATTTTTAATGTCCAGCCATACTCTACTCAATCAAAATCATAGCCCTAACAAAAGCAACACTACCTACCCAAAAAAAACACAGAAAACTAAACCATGAAGAACAGAAAAACTGAAGGATGGAAGAACTGAACGCAAGGGTGGAGAGGAGGCTTGTTCACGAACTGTAGGAGATGGATTTCAAAGTGGAGCTACTCAAAAAATGATAGAAACTGAAGAATAAAAAAATCTAAATGGTTGTGGAGGAAACAAACCATTAAAAAAGGCTGAGCAGTCATAACTTTAGAGGGAATTTGAAAAGATGCAACTGTTGAAGAATCTAAGATTAGAGAGTCATGACTTCAAAAGAGGAACAGTCATGGGGAATAGAGAGATGAACGTGAGAAGGGATGAAAAACTGAAAGGAGGGTTAAGTGTGGTTTTACAATGGAAGGCTTCAGGTTTTAAGCCTTGGAATGAATATATCTTGAATTTAGGGTATGTTCAAGGGCAAAATGGTAATTAGAGTGGAAATAAGTAAGGGTAAAGAGGTGAACTTGAAGAAAAAATTCTGACTTTTCATGTCAAGTCGCAACCTTAGGTATACGAGGTTGCGACTTTAACACAGAGAGGGGGATCTAGGGTTTTAAAAAGGCTCCAAGTCGTGACCTGAAAACATTAAGGTCGCGACCTCAACTCACAGGGAGCTTTTACCCAATGTCTTCCCCAAGTCGTGACCTTAGATAGTGAGGTCATGACTTCAACGCACAGAGAGCTCCCATACCCAGACAAACCCTTAGGTCGCGACCTGGAAACAGTGAAGTCGTGACCTGAGTACACAGAGAGGGCTCTAACACTCAAGACCCTTAAAAACGTCAAACCTAATTGCTGAAAGAGAGCCTAAATTGTCGTTCGCTTAGAGGTTCTCGCTCAAAAATTTATCCAAGCTATGCAGT